TAGTAGAGGTGGTAACTAGTGTAGTAGAGGTGGTAACTAGTGTAGCAGAGGTGGTAAGTAATGTAGTAGAGGTGGTAACTAGTGTAGTAGAGGTGGTAACTAGTGTAGTAGAGGTGGTAACTAGTGTAGTAGAGGTGGTTACTAGTGTAGAAGAGGTGGTAACTAGTGTAGTAGAGGTGGTAACTAGTGTAGCAGAGGTGGTAAGTAATGTAGTAGAGGTGGTAACTAGCGTAGTAGAGATGATAACTAGTGTAGGAAACGTGGTAACTAATGAAGTAGAGATAATTACTAGTGTGCGAGAAGTGGTAATTAGTGCAGTAGAGATGGTAACTATTGACAGATAGGTGGTAAGAAGGGAAGGAGAGTGGAGGATAGGTGTAACTAGTGTAGAAGAGGTGTGACGAGTGTAGGACAGGTGTAACGAGTAAAGGATAGGTGTAACGAGTGGATGAGAGGTGTAACGAGTGGATGAGAGGTGTAACGATTGGATGTGAGATGTAATGAGTGGATGAGAGGTCTAATGAATGCAGAGGTGATATTGAATGAGACTCTGAACCATGAGTCTACAGCAAAGGCTCCATCTTACTCTATTAATTATTATTATTATTATTATTATTATTATTATTATTATTATTATTATTATTATTAATATTATTATTATTATTATTATTTATTAATATTAATATTAGTATCATTATTATTATTATTTATTATCACTATTCTTTAAAATTTACAAGTAGTAATAGTAGTAGAAGTAGCAGTAAGAGGCGTAGCAGTGGTATCAATAATAGTAGCATTAGTAACAGTAGAATCATGAGTAGTAGTAACACTAGTAATGGTAATCGTAATACTGCTAGTAGAAGTAGTAGCAGCAGTAGTTTTGATAGTATAGGTAGTACAGGTAGCAGTAGCAGCAATGGAAGCAGAAGCATTATTGGCAGTAGTAGCAATAGTCTTTAGTAGTAGTAGTACAAATAGTAATGGTAGCAGTTTATACTAGTTGCGATGGTAGCTGTACTAGTAATATAGTTGTAGTGAAGGTAATACTAGTATTAGTGATAACACTAGCGGTTGTAGTAGCAATAATAGTAGTAGAAGTGGTAGTAATACTAATAGTAATGGTAGTAATACTAGCAGTAGTGGTAGTAATATTGATAGTAGTGATAGTAATACCAGTAGTAGAGATAGTAATACTAGTAGAGACAGTAGCACTAGTATTAGAGATAGTAATACTAATAGTAGTGGTAGTAATACTAGTAGTAAGAGAATATATGAAAGCTGCTAATAGTAACGGAATCTGATTTAATGTGTTTTCTCGGGCTTTTTTCACGTGATTTCTCAAGTGTTTTTTTCATGTGTTTTCTCCGGTGTTTTTTTATGTGATTTCTTAGGTGTTTTTCATATGTTTTCTCGTGGCATTTCTCACGAGTTTTTTTGTGGGTTTTCACTTGTTTTCTCTGATGATTTGTATTTTTTTCTGTTTTATTTTTTAGAATGTTTTCTTATGTGATTTCTCAGGTTTTTTCATGTGTTTCTCAGGTGTTTTCTTATGTTATGTCATGTGTTACATAATTTATTTAGTATTTTCTGATGTGATTTCTCATGGCGTTTATTTGTTTTCACTTGTGTTTTCTCGTGTTTCCTTATTTTTGTGTGTCACAGTAAACAGTACCATATATCACACAAAGTACATAATGCCATGTATCACACAAAGTACATAATACCATGTATCACACAAAACACAAAATACCATGTATCACACAAAGCACATAATACCATGTATCACACAAAGCACATAGTACCATGTATCACACAAAAGTACATTTACCATGTATTACACAAGGAATATAATCCTATGAATCATTGAAAGTATATAGCACCATGTATCATACAAGGTATATAATTCCACGTATCACACAAGGTATATAATCCTATGTATCATTGAAAGTATATAGCACCATGTATCATACAAGGTATATAATTCCACGTATTACACAAGGTATATAATCTTATGTATCATACAAAGTATATTGTACCATGTATCATACAAGGTGTATAATTCCATGTATCACATAAATTATGTAATCCTATGTATTATACAAGATACATAATGCTGTTAAATGCATAAATCTGAAATACGCACATTTGGAAATTTATACTCTTAGACATTTCGGTCACTGGGAGCTAAAACAATTGGATATAAAAGTCTTTGGTGCGCGAAACATAACCATCAGATTTGAAAGGCGTCTGTTGGACAAAATGAACACTAATAAAATCAAAACGTTTGACACGACTGCAATTTATAGATATTTGGTCTTTTATTGTTGATATTTATATAATTTTTTATGTTTCTGTTGTCCAAGTTTAGGTCTTTTCTTTGTGCCCTTGTGAATTCTATTTGGTTATTATACGTGCCTTTATTTTTTGCATTATTGAGATTTTTGTTTCGATTTTGTTGTAGCTGTTCAAATCTCTTAATTGTTTAATTTGTTTCTGTTGTCGTTGTTGCTGTTGTAATTGTTATTGTTTTGCTATTTATCTTAGTTTCTTGTTTCTAGCTGTCATTCTTGTACTAATAGAATTGTTACAATTGATGTTTGATTGTTATTATTGTGGTTGTTGTGGTTTTTGCTGCTGTTAATGTTGTTAATGTTATTTTTCTTGTTAATATTTTTTGTT